ATCCATTTCATAGTGAGCAGTATCCTTCCTAGATGGTAACAGGTATCATCCATTTCATAGTGAGCAGTATCCTTCCTAGATGGTAACAGGTATTATCCATTTCCAAGAGACAAAAAAAAAAAAGGAAGAAAGGTAACTTAAAGCAACATCAGCTTCTTGGCTTTAAGCAACCAAGTCTTATGTGAAACAAGCACTAATTTCTGAATAAATACTGTATGATTACAAGATATAAATTTGAGAATGTGTCAGTTATGCAGGTAGCGTGTAATACTGGGTTAGTATGAGTATTTTAAGGAACCTTGGATTTAGCAGAAGATAGTCTAGTACAACTTGAATGTCAATAATCGGTCCAGCAATCCAATGAAAGTCATGGTCTAACATAAGTAAACTGCAAGTGCACATAATGTTTTGTGTATTAATAATGATTATTATTTTGGTTTGGTTTGTTTTGAATTTTGCGCAAAGCTACACAAGGGCTATCTGTGCTAGCCATGCCTAATTTGGCAGTGAAAAACTAGAGCAGTGGTTCCCAGCCTGTGGACCCCGGACCCCTGGGGGTCCGCAAAGATAATACCACCTCATTAAACAAGAAAGTTTTTTAATTCTGCTGTTCTTTTAATTGCACACTCAGTTATATATGTCTTTTATTTGATAGTGAAAAATGAAAAACAAGTCAATCATTAGTAAGAAAAACAGTTTGTTGGGTAGATGGAATCTTTCGAAAAACATGGGGGTTCTTGGTGGTGAAAAGGTTGGGAACAGCTGGACTAGAAGGAAGGCAGCTAGTCATCACCACCCAGCACCAACTCTTGGGCTACTCTTTTACCAATAAATAGTGGGATTGACTGTAACATTATAATGCCCCCATTGCTGAAAGGGCGAGCATATAGGTGGGACGGGCATCTGGGTGAAAGAAATAAGAAATATTCTCATCCTTACTGAAGCAGTTTTGAGACAGTCCAAAGAGAGGAAAAAGTTTGTACAGCAGTTGCAGTGATTTTTACCTCAGACAGACCATTCTACCCAGACATCTACAACATGCCAAGTTTAAACTCAGCTGAGAGTTAAGTGACCACCCATACATCCAGATGTTGTGATACAGCAAAACTAAGGACCAACCAACTAGGTAGACAAGACTTTTAGTTTTGACCAACAAGCAACAGGTACAGAAAAGCCAATATCATACTGTGAAAAATACTGCTACAGCTCCAGGAAAATATAGAAAAGTCCAAGTCAAACAACTTGGCCACTGATTTAGGAGAAGTGCAATGAACAATCTACCTGAAGAAGTGTGGTGGTTAGACCAAGTTCTGACATTGGGTAAATCTTTCACACCTCAACAGGAAAGCATTCAGGTTGTCCTTCTATTCATCAAGTTTGGGAAGTTTAGTTTAGCTGGCTCTGATACCATTGTCATTCTTGGATCCTCCATATTTCTGTTGGTGAGCTTGGTGATCTCAATTTGTGTTCTTATTCTCTCTATTTCCAGTCTCTCATTTTCTTCTTTCTTCTCCTTGCTTCTCTGCCTGTGCTCTTCTCTTTCTAGGTCTTGTTGTTCAATAATAAACTCTCATACATCGTCATGTATGAGCCCAAGTCACTTGCCCCTATCTTTCCACTTATTAAAGTTAGTCAACATGATTATATAGTGTAGTTATGTCCTCTACAATATTTTTGCTACCACTACAACTGTATATATATATAGACGCACTATATAAACTATCTAAATCATAACACTCGTATTAAACTGAAACAGTCGTGTATATTTAACACAGCAATAGTAAACGTCTGAAGGCTAGAAAATGGCTTTACCTAGATCTGGTCACTCTACCTGCAAGAAAGACTACCCTGCCTCAGCTCCTAACTCATTGTATACCAAACTGTACAGCCATCCTCGTGTAGGAAATGTCATTTCAGAGACTTAAGGATACTCAATGGAATATCATCGAGTCTGGCCATTTACCTTGTCAGGAATGTCACAACAACTCTGTAACGAAAATATCCCAGTCATGGTATCAAAATTTAACCTTTCCTTTACTCTATTATAATTTCCAGCTCAAAATTATCCAGACCTTTCCTCATGAGTTCAAGCATTCTCAACTGATGGAAAAATGGTTCATATTGGTGAAACTTACCCACCAATGTCACCTTACTCCTGATTCTTGTTAGGGTTAGGCACCCTACTTCAAGGAAAAGCTCCCTGTTTGTCCACCATTCATCAATCTTTTGCATGAAGATTTACTTTTAAATATTCATTTAGGATACTGGTTTATGGAATGTATTCCCCAAACTTGAAATTAGTTCATTTTGGAAACAAAGAGAGAGGAAACAAATGCACAAATCCAAACAATCTTTACTTAATACAGAACAATAAAGCAAATGTTTCTCATGAATGTGTGGAACTCGTAAAAGATGTGTAAGAAACCTTCAATAGTTTCTCTTAACAGTTCAAGTGTGATCCAGCTTGTAAGTTAATCTAAAAAGAAAACACTGACTCCCTCAAAAGAGAAAGTTAAAACACATTTACTTAAGGAAAATGTTAAATCTAAAAATTCCACAAGAATTCTTACACTCACAAAGCCTTAAATGTAAAAGTATAAAAATAAATTCAGCAGAAATCTATTACAAAGGTCTGCTGAACATTGATGACTGTGAAATTCTCTAGCTCCTGGGGCAAGCTTGGCCTTATGTAAGAAAAACAAAAGTATACACAAGGCCAGGCCCCACATTAGGCAAGTAGTTCACCTGTTTATAACATGTTGTGTGAAAAGGGCATGACAGCTCCCTACATATTATCTGATTTGCTGACAAGATAAACAGCTGTCTCTCTAACTAGAAGTTATCTTTCTTATAAGAGAACAGGGATAGAAAAAACAAAACAATTACAAACATACTATGTGCTGTAGAAAATGGGAAAGCTGAGTAACTTACTTGAGCAAATAACTACATCTAAAGTGGACACAATAAAAAAATATAATATTTTGAAAAATTCTTACTCATTAACCAAGGGAGTAAACAACACACAGTATGATTCCATATTACCATATCATATTATACAGTTGTCCATACTACTGACAGACAAGAAACAACAAAGGCTGTATGATGAATCCTTTATGCACCTTTGTCATATTTATCCTAATCAGAATGGTGCCTATTAATCATGATCTTTTTTTTTACCTTCAAGCCAATTTTTATTCTATCTTTTGAGTTTCTCTTCTCATCCTGTAATAGTCTCACTAACTAATTAACTGATTGTGATGGAACCTTACTGAAAACTTTGTCTATGCCTAGATAAAAATCATTAATAATAACAGCCTCATCTTTGCATGCAAAACTTCTATTAAAAAGCTGCAATAAATTAATGAGAAATTAAACCCCTTTTTAAAGTCAAATTGAAAATGTTTAATCAAACTCCTAAAATGTATCTTCAAGATGACTTTACACATAATCCTTAGCAATGGATTTCAATACAACTCAGGCTAATTAGCCTGCAATTCCATTGATCTTCTTCTACTCTAAACCCTTCATTTTAAAGGTAAGTATTTTATTGGTTGACTTCCAATAATCAGTAATTCTGTGTATCTATACTCTTCTGAAAAAATTCTGTTTATATACCCATTATTTCAATGTTTAAACTCTTTAGTCTTACAATAAATCTCTCCTAAGATTGAAACTTGAGTATATGTGGTTACTAAGCTATTCAAAAACACAATTATATTTAATAATAACAGATAAGAATTAAGATCTTCCCTGACTTTAAAGATATCACACAGCACAAATTATATCATCATCATCATTTGTAGCAAAAACGTTGTTTAACATTTGAACTAAGTATGTAATCCTCTTCTATAGCATCATTTCCATTTAAATAGCCCCCGAGTGGCACAGTGGTATGTCTGCAGACTTACAATGTGCTTAATTGTTTGTTTGTTTGTTTTTGAATTTCGCGCAAAGCTACACAAGGGCTATCTGCACTAGCCGTCCCTAATTTAGCAGTGTAAAATTAGAGGGAAGGCAGATAGTCATCACCACCCACCGCCAACTCTTGGGCTACTCTTTTACCAACGAATAGTGGGATTGACTGTCACATTATAACGCCCCCATGGCTGATAGAGCGAGCATGTTTGGTGTGACGGGGATTCGAACCCACGACCCTCAGATTGTGGGTCGAGCGCCTTATCCACCTGGCCATGCCGGGCCCACAATGTGCTTAACTTCAAACAAACAAACCATTTAAATTTAGTAAAACCTCAATGGTTTATTTAAATTTTTATAATTTTTTTACTCTCAGCATAAAAATCTATTAAATACATATTTACTTTATAAGTTACAAGCTTTTAAAGTTCCCTTTTTTTAGCCTCACTATAGTTTTCTTAACCAGTTTTATTTCAATATTCTACCAAACCTTCCATTTTAATGGTGATTTTCATATTCCTGAAATATAATTCATTAAAATTTCATTATCTAAGTACTATTTATGATCTGCCCTATGATTTGAAAAAAATTATTTAAAAGAAATACAGCATTTCTCAGCAAATTTAATACACATAGTAAGATAATCCCAAGCATCACTCACACTTTTCCTGTGTAAGTTTCCCAATTTGATCAGTCAGTCTTTGTCAAGTCAGCAACAGTATCTATCTTGCACTAAGTCTAAAATAAAAACATCAAGAGTAAATATATCGTGGCCACTTCTATTAAATAATCTTGAACAATAACATTTCTTACTATGTCCTCAGAACTGAAAACAAGGCCATATAGCATCTTTTCTAGTATGTTCTTTAACATGTTGATTGAAAACAAATTCCCACTATATTGATTGATTCCTCAACATCAAATGTATAGGAATGATATTTATCCAGTCTATATAAAAAAAAAAAAAAGAGTATATTACGATAACAAAATAAAACTACTTTTATTAGCAGCATAACAGTCTTTGTGTGCACATTCCTAATGTTGTAAGATATATTTCCAATGTTTTAATTTAAATGTTAACTAGAGAGCATATGATATTTAATTAGTCCTAGAATACCTAGAACTTTCAGGAAAATAGTGATCAAGAGATTTTATGAAGTGTCTAGAAACAATGCTACTTTATACACATGAGAATCAGCAAGCAACAGGTCAGTTTAATTAAATATTTAGTTTTAGTGAAGTATATAAATCAGAATTAGTTATCATGTTTATTCAATATTAATTAACCATGAAATAGTACAAGTTTATTTCTTTTATGTTATCCATAGTACCACTGGCAAGGTATTTCCATTTGAACATCATTTGTAAAGTTCTTTAGATCTTAAAATTATACTTTTTCTAAAAGTATTGAAAAGATTCAAGATATTACCAATTATCATTTAAGTTATCATCTCTCTAAATGTTCCATAAACTAAAAATAATGTGAAATATTAGAAAAAAGCTTTCATCTCAATTCTTAGAAGTTGTACTTGTTGTCTTAAATAAATCAGTAATACTTTTGTAATGCCTCTGTGTAAGAACATTTAGAATAACAGGAAAAATAAGGCCAAGTAAAAAGAAAAACATGTATAGCATTCAAAGTTCCCATAAAAAGGAAGTGGGAGGCCCTTTTTTTTAAATAAAATCTTTGAAATAAAGTTTGCACCCTTTTTTTTTCATGACTATTGCTTGTTTTCAAAGGGTGCATGTCAAACAGAAGTCTTCTTTGTGTGATTGAAAAACAATAATTCAAAAAAAGAAAAAAATCACCAAAAAAGGTGGGGGAGGTGGCTGCAGAAAAAAAAAGGTAGCAGGTGGGATGCTAAACATGTATTTTTTATTTTTTTTACGTGGCCTTATTCAAGATTTGTTTACTGTCATCAACCAGTTTACAGTTATCTCAAAATGATGGCCTTATATTATTCAATATCACAGCACATCAACTTTTATTCCACTGATACGAAATTCACCTCCTGGACCTCATTTAAAGGTAAAAAGGCTACAGATTGTAAGACTGGCTAAGCTTCCTTTGTTCGATTAAATATGAAAAGATCCCACTTTAGATCTATCTGTACCTTCTTCTAACACATCTACAATCTGAATATCAAGATATACAGTTTAATGTATAAGGCGTATCCAGACTCATATCAACAGTAGCAAAAATAAAATGTACATAGAATGTTAATAACATCATTGTCATACTTATAAACAAATACTAAAGTTCTATAATATGTTAAGATAGCACATTCAAAACTGAAGTAAAATGCTACACTACATATATAAATGAAGAGAAAGTAACACTTGTTAAGCCCATTCGTAATTTAGTTCACACAGTGTTAAGTTTCGAGCTTAGAAATACTTTGTTTTACGTTGCATTAGTTATAACAAAGTATTTTCCATCTCTAAGTATTAAAGCACCTATTTACACTTACAGCTTCGGCTATTGAGTTAAGTTAATTAACACCGTAAACAACTAAATTTATAAATAAAAATGTGACTAAGTTTTCTACAACAGTACAAGCAAAGCTTAGCTCTTGCTCAGTATAGACTTTGTACTAATTAATAATTTGAATAACTATCAGTATATCAATAGCAAATGTTAGTATTAGTATTAATTAATATTATAATAATCACTCAAGTTGTGCCTAGCACTGCGGCAACGTATTTTATATTTTGATTTCAGTTAAATTTTTAGTTTTAGAAATTAAAGTGCACTTTGTAATTTAAATATAACCGAAACAGAAAAAACACCACTTTGGTTCACACCGATACCAGAAAATAATGGTGTTTGGGGATTTAAAATGTTTTGATACTTTGTTAACTCTTAAAGTTTCAAAATTAATTATTTATATCATAAAAAAATTACCTGTAATTTATTTATACAGCAGGAAAGCGAAGATAGGAGTCAGATGTTTCCGACTTCCGCTTCCGGTAAACGCAACTAACGCAACAGTAATGACAGTTTTCTGTTGTTGATTTTTAATAAAAAATTTACACATAAGTTAAGTGTACTCAAAACTATATGAATATGAAAAAAAAATTAATTATTACTATAAAAAGTTATATACACTATATCACAATATAATCTTCTATAGGGACCACTAATATCGAGAAAAAAAAAGACTTTTCGTTCATCTTCTTGGCCTCCCAGTGGCACGGCGGTATGTCTGCGGATTTACAACGCTAAAATCCGGGTTTCGATACCCGTGGTGGGCAGAGCACATATAGCCCATTGTGTAGCTTTGTGCTTAATTACAAACAATCATCTTCTTGAATTATCTATCTATCTTAGGGTTTAAACCTAAGCGGCATCTTATGCAACATATGGACTAAACGGCCAGATAAGATAACCCAAATTTCAGGCATAGCCATCCCTAATTTAGACTAGCTGACTGGAGGGAAGGCAAACAGTCAGCAGCACTCTCCAACTGCATTAATACTCTTAACTAAACAGCGATATTGACGGTAATTTTCATAACGTGTCCGCAACTGAAAATGCAGATCATGTCCAGCAAATAATATCGCGGGCTTGAACCTTGGAACTTTTGATAAGCAGCCCAGCATATTAACCACAAGGCCACGTATGGCAGTATCTGTCAATGATTGACGCAATTATTAAATACTGTTATACTTATAACACGTTACATCATTGGGCACTGGGCGGGTTCTTTTGCATTATTTGGTGAAAACAATGTCAAATCCAGTCTCTGTATATTTGTTTGTTTGTAATTAAGCACAAAGGTACCCAATGGGCTATCTGTGCTCTGCTCACAACGGGTATCAAAACCCGGATTCTAGCGTTGTAAGTTCGCAGACATACCGTTGTGCCACTGGGGGCCAGTCTATGTATAATGAATTTATTTATTTATTCAATAAAGTTTATTATAGGCTACATTCATTGTTAACCTAACTTCACAAATACCGTTTCAACAGAAATTCCGAAACTTATGTATACCTAACTTACTTGAAAAATTTACTCATTAATGGATCAATAACAAACATGCTGTAATTCACTGACTAGTTGATTAACTGAATCACAGGTGTATTAATTCTCCCTGTCTAACTCACTAACTGATACCAAACTACTTAACTAACTCACTCACTCAGTCACTTTACCATTTTTATATAATTCTAGTTTTCTACACATTGTAGGACGCTTCAAGATTCTTATGGAGGCCTAAACTACATCAAACTTCTAGACTTATTTGGCCATGAAAAATGCTTCCTCTAGTGAACAAAACATTTAAATAATTAAAATATAGCCCACAGCACTCCATCTTCCTGAACACACAGGGAGATGGTTCGTCGGCTATATTGATCTAGTTTATTTTGAGAAGTAAACAAACCAACACTTGGTTTTTGGACAAGGTGTGGTGAGGGTACTTAAATACCCAACTGTATGCTTTCAAATTACTTTGTTATGTTAAATTATTCGACAAATTTTGTAACTTTAAGAAACTTTATGGAATCATTATGATAGCACAGGATTGAAGACAATAATTACCAGTTACAATATATTATCACTCAGTAATTATAATTTATAGGCCTATTAGTCTTACATCGTTGTGGAAAAAGGTTTCGAAAGTCTTATAAAAGATGCTTTGTAAAGTCCTTTAACAGAGTTTAGAATTTTATTGGATAGTCGACATGGTTTAACTAAGGGAAAGCCTTGCTTTCCAAACTTTCGACATCTTTGAAAAGGTTAATGCTTATGTAGATATGGGTAAGGGTGTGGATTTGGTTTATCTAGATTTTCAAAAAGCATTTGACAGTATTAAGTATAATTTGGGTGAGAATATCCTTAACAGTGTCATTAAAGAAAAGGATCTTGGTGTAATGGTTGATAATGTAAGGTAAAGAGCCTAAGACTGAACACAATATTCCAAATGTGGCCTAACCAGTGACCTATACAATGAAATTATAACCTCTTTAGATTTTTATTCAAAATTACTGTAAATACAACATATAATCCTATTTGCCCTACAACCAGCAACAGCACAATCCTTAGATGGCCTAAGATACTCATTAACCATTGCACCAATATCCCTTTCTTTCATGACGCTGTTAAGTTTATTTTTACCAGCTTTTTATGTGGCACCTTGTCAAATGCTTTACGTAAATCCAGATACACCAAATTTACACCCTTACCTTTATCCACATAAGCAGTAACCTTTTCCTATGCTTGTATTTTATCCTGTTTTAAGTCCTGTGTGTTGTAAATATATTTTGAAACATAAACATTAGAATATATTGAGAAGGGGCAGCTCGAAGTTGTGTGGAATGGTTTTGTTCATACACAGTCAGGTGTAAGGTATAGAATTGGTTGTTATCTGTAATATAGCTGTAATATAAGCTTTAATTAATGCCCATAGGGTTGTAGTTGTCTCTCTTATTTTCCCCTTAAAAGACACAAGTGCCCTACTAATCCTTACCTTTGAGAGTAGTGAGGTTTGATAAGTATATCTGTGGGTGGATCTCTTTATTTAACAACCAGATGACTTATGTAATGGCTGTAATTAGTGGTAGAATGAAAGAAAAGAATCTGGAGATAATCTGCTTTGTTTACTCATCAATAAGCTCAGCCTCGTTCTCGCGACGACCTTGACACACCATATAAGGAAAACCGTGTCCTTCTATTGTTAACTCACTTGAACAATCCAAATATGCAGATAAAACAGTACACTAACTTAAAATTCATAACTTAGC